GGGGGGGGAAGTAAAAAATTATTTTAAAAAAGTTATACAAATGTAAAAATTTAAAAAATAAAAGTGATAAAGTAAAACAATTAAAACCAACCCTGCTGCCCTTGCCATCTGCATGCAAATAAATGCATTTGTAGGACATTGTGTGTGAGCATTGAGTGCTGCCACCATTCCACTGTGTGCCATACCATGGTAGCCAGGCAGCAGAACTCTCTGACACGCACAACGTGCATTAAAGGGCAAGTTCACTTTCCCGGGTAATATGGGAAAATGGAATTACTCGATCAAATCTGGCCTCGTCTCTCACAAACCTATTTAGCAGTCAAATACAGTTTTGATTAGGGATGCACCGATACAGAGTATTTGGGTGAGTACTTGTTCTCGCCCAAATGCTTCGATACCTTCCCTGATACCGGAACTTCCGGTCAGAGTAAGATTTCCTCTGACTGGCAGTGCCGTAGGGGAAAATGGAGCCAGCTTCCTGTGCAATCAGGAAGCGGGGGCGGTGAGTAATGACCAGATTCCAGGTTTCCTGATTGGCCGGGAAGCAAAACACCATTGGGCCGGCTTCCCGGCCCATCAGATAATTACTTGCCACCCGGCTTTCTGATTGGGAAGCCTGCTCTATGCCAACGGTAGCACCGGTATGGGTACTTGCCATCGGCGAGTACCGAAAGCAAAATGTGGGTACTTGATACCCAAAAACTGGTATTGGTGCATGCCTAAGTTTTAATTAAAACTATTTTTTGTATTGGGACAAGTAGATTGTCATGAGGGACAAGTAGATTTGGCCCCCGCTTTAGCCACTGGGCAAGTAGTTTTTTTTTTTTTTATTTCCACACCAGTTTTGGCTTTCCGATTGGCTAGGAAGCTGGCTTGACAAGACACTGAGGCAGCCTGTCTTCCTGACCAATCACCCCCACCCACGGCCTGGCTTCCTGATTGATAAGAAAGCCAGGCTGCCTCGCAGTGTCGCAAGGGAGCGTCAAGCTGGTGTGCTTTTCATAAAACACTGATTTCCCGGCTAAATCAGGCTACCACAGAATGCCGATGTTGGTATAAAAAATATTGGTACTCATACTCTATACTGAAAAAATTGTATTGGTGCATCCCTAATATTAATATGATATTGAGATAAAAAATAGAGCATTTCATTTATGCATTGAGGACTAAAAAGTCTGGCTGTAAAGGCAGCAGAAGTATTTTCTTGATTATACAGTACAGGGCACAGGCTCATTATAGAAGACTGGGTAATATGCAGGTATCATCCGGTAATTGGGCACTGGCCAGAGCTGTAACCACTCATATAACCCCCCCCACAATAGAAACTCCTCAATTTTTGGTCAGTGTCAAAAGGTCCAGTTGCCTGATTGCTGCCCCACGGCAGTAGCTTCAGGGGACATACCCATACCCCACAAGAACAATGTCAGAAGATGCGAAGCCAGCCTGTAATGTTGCACATTTTGCAGCATATTGGGTTAGCTGCAAAGTGCCATACAGGACCAGGGCAGTGATTATATTTAATTATGTATCTGCATTGGTGTGACCCCATCCCTGAAGACCGCCTCCAGAAAGAAGGGGTATGCTCGTCCGAAGTGAATGCCCTTGTGGATTGTTGTGCATCATCCTTAACCCCCCTATAAACACCCCCACCCACCGAAGGGACCCCAGGACACGCTTACTGGACTGAGCTGGGTTGGCCCTTTAATTTTTTTTTTTTTCAAAATTGCTGCACTCCGCCCTGAGAGGTATGTCTGCCACCTCGTGACCCCTCTACGTGGCCCTTGCAAACATTGCATGTTTGTGGCCTCCGGGAGGCCCTGTTGGAACCCCCGGCAGCAATATTGAGACTCTCTAGGATGCCTGAGCATGTTCTGTACAGGCTGGGCATGCACAGTTAATGCATGGTGGCAATCTTAGAAGGGGGCATGGACTGTGATCACATGCTGAAGATGTGTTATTTGGAATCAATTTCCATCTAGGAGCAGATGGAGGTGCAAGGACCACAGTGACCACTATGGGGACCCTTGTTTAACCCTTGGTGCTGGTACTGTGAGTAGCTGTTTGGGGCCCCTCACCATGGGGCTAAAGACCATGGGCCAGGTGACACAGGAATAGCTATTTCTGCAGCTGTCCAGCTCAGTTCACACCTATGCATTGCGGGAACACGTGTATGTGCGTTTTCGCACATTTGTGTGCCGAGTTTGCTGCTTGCCCCCTTTGATTTTAATGGGTTCATATATGTGCAGCAAAGAAGCTCATGTAGTATCTTTTTATGACACGCGTTCCACTTTGTTTTCAAGTGCACTTAGGCACGTTTAGCTGCATAAAACAGGGCTGAACTGCTCTGAAACACAGAAAATTATGTTTTATGTAAACTGAGCCAGGCTGAATACACCTGGACACCGTTAAACGTCAAGGTGTGCATCCAGCCATGGAAAAACATTACATGCTTCTAGGTGCATTAGGAAATGAGCTCCAGGACTGTATTTTAATTGCCATGCCTATGAGGCCTAAAAAGGGAGGGTATCTGCAGAGGATGCAAGCATAATCCCCCTACTATGTCTCCTCTGGAGTCTGTTACAGACCCTTAGAAGAAATCTCTGAAGTGTTCTCTGATGGAAACGGGCCTACCGGACTGCAGGGAAGCAAGCTGTCATTAGACCCACTAATGACATAATTAATCTTAAGGCGACCAACTGATTTCACTTAAGTGGGAAAACACTAGGGATGCACCGATACAAGCATCGGTATCGGCGGCGATACTTACTACTTAAACCGGCGCACGCAGTGTGCAGCTTCTGAGAAGCTATGCTATTAGCGTAGCGGGAGCGATGCAAAATTCGCCTTCCCCGCTATGCTAATAGCGTATCTTCTCAGAAGCTGCACACAGCGCGCGCGCCGGTTTAATTAGTAACCAGCACACGCTGTATGCAACTTCTAACAGCATGGGAGACGGGAGGCTGCGTTTGTTGGTGGACCCAGGAATCAGGTGAGTATTAGTTCTTAGTTCTATAATGGCATTGTAGTACTTTCAGGTAGAATACAGTTTCATAACATATCAGCTAGGGAACTACAAGTCCCAGCATGCCCTCATTGCCCCTGTACAACCACCAGATATTGCTGTTCCCTGGGTGATAAAGAGGGGACCAATTTTGACTTTGATACGTTGATCAACCAAACCAATCTCATGCCATAGCCATATGCCATAGCCTCCCCCAGAATGTAGGGGAAAAATACAGGGGGGTGGGTGAAGAGAGATAGGCCAGAGAGAAGTATTTTGAAGTAGTAGTGATGAATTACAGATCCAATCCTCACTGCTAATCTTATGTACTTCTGAGAAGATTCTCTTATGGGTATATGTAAGTAGGCATCTAGCAAATCCAGGGTCGCCACAAAGGCCACCAGCTGAAGAATAGTCCTGCTTGAGAAGATGGAGCCCATCCTGAACGTCTTGTATCTGATGGATTTAGGGATCTGAGGTTTAAGATAAGACAATATTTCCCCGAAGGTTTCTTCACAACAGAAACGTGAAAAATAAAAACCCCTGCCCTGTTCTTCCATTGGCACAGGGTAAAATTACCTGTTGGTCTACTAGATCTCCCAACAGTAAACAAAGCATATTGGCTTTTGAGTCTCTGGGAAGATCTGTTACTAAAAGATGAGGGGGATTGTCGAAACCCCTGCTCTATGATCCCCAGGATGAATGCATTGGAGGAGATTGATCTTCATTGTGGAAGGATGGTGTCATTGGGATTTGGGGTATTGGATAGGTAGATTAAAGAGAATCCCACCTTTACCCCTACCTCATTCTCTGGCTACAAAAAATATCCTTTTTAAAGACTACAGATCACTACAGAAGGGTAAAATACACAAACACAGCTTGGAAGCAGCATTTCCAAGCAACTGTTCTCTGGGAGTACCTGCAAGCAAGTGAACCTCACCTGTGGAAGCCAAAAATCTATATTCCTGGCAACACAGGTAGTAGCTAAAGTGGGTTTCAAATTGAACAAGGTAGAATCCCAAGCTCTCTTTAAGTGGACCTTTACTCCCTTTCACTAAAAAACAGATCAGCATG